TTTCAGAGAGGAAAGGGGAGAGAGAAAAACATCAATGATGAGAGAGAATCATTGACCGGCTGCCTCCTGCATGCCCCCACTGGGGATCAAGCCCACAACCCAGGCATGTGCCCTGACTGGGAATCGAACCGTGACCTCCTGGTTCATAGGTCAACACTAACCACTGAGCCACGCCGGCTGGGCCCCACCCACATCTTGCTCACCCAACAGTAACCAGGAGGACCACACAACTTCAGCGGCACCCCTGCCAGATAGTTTGCCCACGGCCCCAGGACAGAGCCCAGTTTCTCACCCGCCTGCCAGGCCCAGCCTGGCCTCTGTGCCTCTCAGCAAGGCCCGCTGCCTGGGCATCCAGGGCCAGCCTGACCTTGAGACAGGGTCCCAGGGTCAGCGAGGGCCAAGCTAGGGGGCAGAGCTGCCAAGCCAGACCCGTGGACACCTACCCCACTGAGAACACTTCCACATGGGCATGAGCTGTACACCAGCGTGACCCCTGGGGCCCCTGATGGAGGAGGATCCTGGCCTTGGGTCGGGCCAACTCCACCACGAATCCCGCCCACGATTCCCATCCCCCAGCCCGCTCTCCTGACCCTGTGCCTGCCTTGCAGTCCAGAAGGCCGGGGAACCCAGGCAAAGCTAATCATCACGTGCCCCCAAAATGACAGGACCTCCCTCAAACGCGTGAGGTGAGGACCTGGGAGGGAACCTCCCGGCTCTGCCCGGGCTGGCTGTGTGCCGAGACCAGCCACCCTCTCTGGGCCCATCTCCTCTGACCCAAGGGCCCTCCTTGTGGTGCACCTGTCAGCCACCCCTCCACATGGTACAGTCCTCCAACCCCGCTCCCGGCATCCCGCTATAGATCCCTGCTCTGCCACTAGGAGGCCGGTCTCCTCGGGGCTGGTGGCGTGGGGCGGCCTCTTGTGGCCACATGTGGGCATGGCATGCTCACCAGCAACTGCTTTGGCCGGGGCCTGCTGGAGGGCGCTGAGGGCGCTGAATGGGCTCTGCCTGCACCTTGCCCTTCTCTGAGGCCCAGCCGACCGTAGGCCACCTCTTCAGGTTCATCGGGCCCAAGTGGGAAAAGACGTGGTGGCTCTGAGTCTGTCAGAACTGACTTCCTTCTGCTCTTCATTAGCAAACATTTATTGAGCACCTACTGTGTGCTCTGCCACCCGCACTGAAGTTACGGTCCAGCCTGGCCCAGCACCTCCACTTTGCACTCTGAGCCCCATGCCCCCTCCAGGAACTGCCTGCTCAGCAGTCCCCGCCTCGCAGGGCTGCCGTGAGGATGGAGGTCCAGGGGCTCAGGACCCGGCTCCTCTGCTGGTCACCACCCACTCCTCCCCCTGCGCCCTCCCCCCTCCCGGGCTCCCAGAAAAGCTCCAGAGTCCAGTTGGGGAACCAGGGCTCGCCGAGGAGACAGGAGAGGGCTCAAGGGGGCAGGCAGGCTGTCCGGCAGGAGGAGGAGATGGACCCCAAAGGGGGGTCCCAAAGGGACGTGTTTAATCCTAGAAAGGGAGGCAGAAGGGGCGCGGGCTCTGAGGAGTGGGAGGGAGGCTGGCGGTTAGGGGTGCGGTGGGGCGTGCGGTGGAGGCAGGGACCTGGCTCTGAAGGATCTGAGGTGGGAGCTGTGGGCTGGGCCGAGGCCGGAAGAGGAAGACTGAGAAATTGCCTCAATTACGAATAACCACAGCCCCTTGGCCCCACGAGCAAAGCTGCAGAGAACAAACCCAGGAGGAGGATGGGGTAACCGAGAGGCCAGGGATGTGGGGGAGAGAACAGGAGGGTTTGGAACACTCCAGACAGAGAGGAGAAAGGATGGCGACTGAGGCCTCTCAGAGCCTGTGTGGCAGGAGCGTGGGCAGGCAGCCAGCATGAGAGAGGAGGGACGGGTGGAGCAGGCATCACACACACACACACACACACACACACACACACACACACACCCCTACAGAGCTGCCCCGGCACCTGCGGCAGGCACTGGGCTGGGTGTGGAGTCGGGGCGTGTCCTGGGGGCAGGACGGGTTCAGGGAGGGCCACTGCCAGTGGGGAGGGCTGAGCCGGGCTGGGCTTTCGGAGGGACCATAAAGGCAGCTCGCTCAGCCCCTGCTGTGGCCTGATGAGCAATCTGCGGCTTGCCCAAGGTCATGGCACTCCCAAATCTACTGTCTGTGTTGTACACACACAGGCATGGACATACATGCGCACACACATGCACACACACCCCCGCTGTAGGAAGGGAGTCCTCTCTCGGGCCAGGGGGATGAAGGGGGCAGCCCCAGGCCACCTCTCGCTGATGCCACCCACCCTCCCACTTTTCAGCATCAAGAAGGCAACCCTTACCCTAACTGGTTTGGCTCAGTGGATAGAGCGTCGGCCTGCGGACTGAAGGGTCCCGGGTTCGATTCCGGTCAAGGGCATGTAACTTGGTTGCGGGCACATCCCCAGTGGGGGGTGTGCAGGAGGCAGCTGATCGATGTTTCTCTCTCATCGATGTTTCTAACTATCCCTCTCCCTCTCTGTAAAAAAATCAATAAAATATATTTAAAAAAAAAAAAAAAAAGAAGGCAACCCTCTGGAGCCCACAGTTCCCAACCACCAGGCCCTTCAGCCCGAGCGATGGCTGATGGGAACCTCTGAGGCCCAGGAGGCCATGGCCAGAGGATCTGTGTTGCTGGAGACGATGCCCAAGTGCATGGCCGGGGCCTCGGAGGCGCTGGTGGAGGGGCTCCCTGGCCAGCAGTTCTGAGCTGAGCAGATGAGCATGTTCAGCCGCTGAAGCCCTTTCCACCCCAGGTGGGTGCCGTCAAGGCCTGTCACCCGACTCCCCCCCCCACTACACACACACTCCTGCACCCTCTCTGAGGATCCACTGAGGGACTCATGATGGAACACTCTCCCCACGCAGGCTCAGTGCTGAGCGCTGGGCGCTGAGTGAGGAGGCCCTCAGGGTTGCCCTGTGTGGGAAAGGCACGCGGCCACACCAACACTGACACAGCTGGGGGACTGGCCGCCTCCATGGGTCCTCGTGCCGCGCCTTCCCCAGGCCCTGGAGAGCTCCCATCTCCCCACCTCATCTGTCTCCACAGCCACCGGCCAGGCCAGGAAGGGCTGCAATTACTGTCCCCATTGCGCGGGTGGGAAAGTTGAGGCCGGGCAGGGGTAGAGTGTGTGCGCAGATAGAGAGGCGCTCAGGACATGGGGACACGATGCGGGAGCCATTCCTTCTGCCTTGGATACGTAGGGGCAGGGAAATTTGAGCTCATCCTTGCACGTTCTTAGAACTTCAGCCGAGAAGCGGGGAACGGGCATTCCAGCCAGGGCGCAGGCTGAGGAAAGGGCCGCTGGGATCGGGCCCTTGGAGACTGGGAGCCAGTCAGGCAGTTTGTTGATGATGTGGGTGTGGGGGGCAGAGGTGACAGGCACAGGCACCCGGAGAGCCTCACTAGGAGTGTCCACGGTCTGTCCCTGACCCTGGTGGGCCCACTTAGGGCCTGGATCCAGCACCTGCCTCTCCTGGGACTGGACTTCCTCCGTAAATGGGGCTTAACTGCGCTTGCCACCGGGTGCTGGCGCGCTGAACGCTGCAGATGAAAGAGCATCGCCAGGCTGGGCGGGGCCCACAGCACATCCCCATGGAGGGGTGGGGGGGCACCGGATCCCCTGAGATGACTGCCTCTCCACAGCTGCCAAACCTGTTCCTCAGCCAGGAAGCTTGGTATTACAGTCCCCCGCCCCGGCCCCCACCAAGGATCCTCTGATGTGATGGTCTAATGACAGACGCCAACTCCCTGTCGGCCGGGAGGAAGGCGTGGCGGTGGCCTTGGCTGCAGGGAGCTGGCCGTGTCCTCACTCATGTGAGCATTTGACACAGGTACACTGAGGACCCCCTCGGACCAGTCCCTGGCCCACGTGTCTGGAAGCACAGAGGAGACACCTGACTTGACCAGGAGTCCAGGACAGACCAGGCCCAACTCCCTCCCCCTCCTTGGTGAGTGAGCAGGTCCCCTCACCTGCCCTCAGGTAGGAGGAAACAGGCCCGAGGCCACACAGCCATGCCCACCACAGGCAGGACAGCTGCTCTTCCTCTCCTTGTACGAGTGAGGAAAGGGGCTCGAGAGGTGCAGTGGCCGGCCCAGGTCACAGAGCAGGCGCTGCCCCCGGCCTGGAACCAGGGCTAAGATGCCGCGTCCTCCTCGCTGGTCACCACAGCCACACTGACCAGGACTCGCCGCCACTGCCACCAGAGGGAGGGCCGGGCCCAGGAGCTCCGGGTGGCGCCCCTCGCTGAGCCCCAGTGCGGGCCACCCTCTCTGCGAAACAGAGCAGACACGGAGCCCGGGGCCCAGGGTGCTTTGGGGGCACACCACACCGAAATGTTTTCATCTGCATTTCTTTGAAACCCAGAAGGAACATTAAATATCCCGATAATGAGTAATTACTAATGAATGAGGCCGAGACTACAGCCATCTTTCTACCAATGTGGTCATAAAATATCATTTAAAAAAAATTTTTTATGAAGGAAGGGGCCACTAAGGCAAAAGTGTCCAGCAATGAAGAAAACCATAACGGCCCCGCGGCCGTGGCCGCACTGTCAGGCCCCAAGACCCTGTTCCAGGCGGGGCAACGCCGCCACCCCCACCTGCCACTGTTTACGGAATGATGATGATGGAAGAAGGAGCAAAAGTGGAGCAGTGAGAAAGAGGAGTGTGGGGCTGGGAGAAGACTAGCCAAATGAATGGTGGCCAGACAGAGAAGAACCCGGAAGGGCGGAGACGCTGAGTGAGCAGATGGCAGGGAGAGGGGGGTGGGGTGGGGGCAGGAGAGGTGGGAGACAGGTGTGTGTGTGGTGTCAGTGAGGACCGCCGGGACCGAGGGAGGGGCCTGGCGTATCATGGGAGCCCTAAACAAGCATTCCCAAGTCTCCTCTGTGCTTCCAGAGACCAGGGCGTCCCCATGACACCCCACACGGTGGTGGAATGACCTGCGAACCTGCCTGCCTCCCCCATGGACCCGGACACATGGGCCAGGGACTGGTCCGAGGGGGTCCTCAGTGTGCCTGTGTCAAATGACCGAGAGTGAGGACACTGCCAGCTCCCTGCAGCCAGGGTCCTTTCACTTTCCTGTAGCTGCTGCAGCGAATTACCACACACTTGGTGACTTGCAGCAACAGAAACTTACTCTCTCACAGGTCAGGCAACCAAAAGTCCAAAATCAAAATCGCTGGGCAGAAATCAAGCTGTCGCAGGGCCATGCTCCCTCTGGGGGCTCCAGGGGAGAGTCCATTTCTCGTCTCTCCAGCTCCTGGTGGCGGCCAGCATTCCTTGTCTTGTGACCACATTCTCCAGTGTCCCCCGCGATGGTCACACTGCCCTCTCCTCTCCTCCTCCTCCTCTCTCTTAAAAGGACACTGTGATTGCATGGAGGGCCCACCCCGATAATCCAGGATAATGTCTGCATCTCAACATTCTTCCTTTAATTGAATCTGCCAAGACTTTCCACGCGTGGCAATATCCACAGGTTCCAGGGATTGGGACCCCGTGTCTTCGGGCCCATTATTCGCCTACTAAAGGCGCATGGAGGCAACGCAGTGTAAGAAGGGCCTGCCTCCCACAAGCCTGCGGCCACGGCCCTTGCCGGAGACCAGTGGAAGGCACATGACCTCCCGCTTCACAGACCAGCACATCCTGGGAGGGAGGTGGTTCGGCCAGGACCCTGGGAGAGGAGGGATCTGGAGGCTCCACTGAAATCGGCTAGGACAGAAGGGGAGTGAAGCGCCCTGGTGAGGAGAAGGTCAAGGGAGAGCCCTGCCCCTCCCTGGACGCTGCCCCTAAATCTGACCTGAGTTCTCAGCAGGTGCTCAGACATGAGCCAGGCCTGTGCTGGGTCCTTCAGAGCCAGCCCTTGGCCTCGGGGAGCCCTCCATCTAACCCGGAAGCAGCACTGCCAGCACCATTGTCTTCAAGAAGCGTAAGGACAGGTGAGACCCCCATTTCCCAGGTGGGGCAGTGAGGCCTGGGGAGGGCGGAGGGCCGTTTTTTGTGCTTCAAATGTCCGCAGTGCCCCATGGAGTACCTCCCTTCCTGCCCCCTTCCGGTCCTGTCTCTGATTTTGTCATCTGTCTCTTCCTCTTGGCACTTTAAAGTGAAACAACGACCGCCTGTTCCCCCTTCCCCTAAAGAGCCTGCAGAGGAAGCAACTCCTCTCCTCCCAGGCTGGGTCTGGGGGACCCGGGCACCAGGCCCGGGCGCAGGCAGCCTTTCCCTCCTTGGTATCCATCCGCGCTCCTGCCTTCTAGCACCAGCTCCTCCTCACGCGGAGCAGAGCTTCCGCAATGAGACTTGGGGGCCCCGGGGCAGCCTGGGCGGTGGCAGAGCCTCCTGCGTGTCTGAACCCCCAAATCAACCAAAAACGGAAAACGCGGGCTTGGATGTGAAGAGAGTCTTCTGATCTCAGTGTTGCCTCTTTCTAGCCGCGTGACTTGAAGCAAATCACTTAAAACCTCTGTGCGCCAGTTTCCTCGTCTGCAAAATGGGTAGAAAGGCCTGGCCAGGGGGACAATTACGCAGGCGCCTCGGACAAGCTGCCCAGAGTTCGCGGAGGGCTCACCGCCCACTACGCCTCCGGGGAGTCGGCTCCCCCCTGCTCCCCCCCCCCGCGGGCCCTCCCCCTGGGGGCTGTGCCCCCGCCACCCAC